TAAGTGAGAGTAACTTTATAAAAATTGACTTATGTAGTTTTAAAAAATAAGCCATTTCTTAGAAAATGATGCAAAAATATTTTCATTAAAAAATATTTTACTTTCTTTTTGTTCAACCAAACAATAGAAAATGAATAAAATATTTTTGAGAAAAACGTTTTGCGTCAAAACAAATGGAACTTTAATATCAATTTCCTTTTTGAGGGATGCTATTTAAATCTAAAAATTAGATTCATTTTATAAATTCACTAATGAAAATTTACTAAAATATTTAAATCAATTGCCTCTTATATTTTCTTTAATTACCAACTAATTATTTCACTTATCTATCATTAAATTTAAAAAATGTGTTTATATATAATTTTTTCAGAGCTGCTAGGTAGCTCGATTGTTTCTTGCCCGAATGGTTTGAAGTGCCAAAACGACGTCGTTTCAGTACCTTTTTTTTTTTTTTTTCCTTTTTTCTTCCCTTTCTCTTCTTCCTTCCCTCTTTGTTTTTCCTCCGTCTTCTCCCTTTGTTCTTTCCAGCAGCTATGAACTCAGAATCAAAATCATTTTTTTTTCTTTTTCCTTCCCCCTCTCTTCTTCCTCTTCTTCCTTCCCCCTCTCTTTTTCCTTTCCTCTTCTTCATCTGTTCAAAATCAAAACTCAGAATTAAAATCAAAATCAAAACCAAACCCAAAATCAGGCCTCATTTGGGAACATGCTATTTTAATAGGTTTTTGGCTTTTTGGCTAAAATATGAGGTAAAAAAACTAGTATGTTTGGAATGACTTTTTGATTTTTTATGAAAACACGTGCAAAAAATATAGAAAAAAATGAAATCTTTGACTTTTTTGTATAGGTTATAGACCTTTTTTATTTTTTACTAATTTTTTGGTTTTTAAGCTAAAACAGACAGTTCCCAAACGAAAATCAAAACCAAACCCACAGAATTAGAATCAAAATCAAAATCAAAGTCAATATCAAAACAAAATCAAAGTAGCCACAACCAAAAATCAAGCTTCCCGTCCATGGCGGTGGGTTGGTTTGTGGTGGTTCAGCCGAAGATCAGGCTTCAGTCTCTTCGTTCATGGCGGTAGGTTGGGTTGTGGTTTAGCCGAAAATCATGGCAGTGGGTTGGATTGTGGTTCAGCCGAAGATCAAGCTTCTATTCTCCCTTTCTTTCTTTTTTTCTTCTTCTCTCTTCATGTTTCTCTCTTTCTCTCACCTCTCTGTTTCTCTCAAACTAGTTTCAAGAAAGAAGGAAAAAGAAGAAAAAAAAGTGTCAAAACAACATTGTAGACACCCCATTTTTAACTACCCTTAAGACTTGGGCACCACCGATTGATCACCCAATGATGAATGTATACACTTGTCAAACACTCGATTTCCTCAACAGAAAGCCTCGGATTTAAGCCTCGGAAACCTACAAACCTTATACCATTTTTAAACCAAAACAACAATTTTTCAACCCTGACCACCCAGGGGCCTGCAGACCCACTAGTGGCCGGCCGACCACTTATTAGTGTACGATTATCCCCTTTAGTGACCTGCTAGCCACTTGTGTCAAAAAACTAGATCTTTTTGCCTACTGTGCCAATTGTCTCCACAAGTGCATGCACTGCACCAGTTGTATCTGTATGGATATTTCCGAGATAGTCTCATATATTTCTATATATAGATGTCTCCCTCTCATAAAATGAGGTTAGAAAAAATTGGAGAAGGAAAATTTCCAAAAATATCTCTCTTTCTATCTTGCAACCTACACACTCTCTTTTTACACTTCCTAAACCTAATTTCTAAGGTTCTTTGTTGAGGTTCTCAAGCTTGAATTTCAGCTCTTGAGGGTGTGGAATTTGGTGGTTTATAACTAAAAGGGTTGTCCCTCTTCAAGAGGTATAACTCCAAGCTTCTTTCCCCAAGTTATTTCCATCATTTATTACTATTTTTGTGCTATTTTTTTACCTGTTTTTATTGGCTGAAACTTGTGGTTTAAGGCCATTAAAGGTAGAGAGGTTGACCACCCATTTTTTAACCTTGCTTTCTAGGCTTTTACCTTCATGTTTCCCACATTTTCACCACATTCTTTTGAGCTTTTTACCATTGAATTTCAGAGGCTAAAAATGATGTTTTGAAGTCCCAAAAAGGAGGGGTTAGCCTCCCCTCCTTATGCTTGTTTACTAGCTTCGATATTGTAGCAAATTTTTTTCAAGCTTTTCCATGTGAAATTCAGTCATATTTTTGACTGTTTTAGGACTATTTTAGGTTGTTTATTTCATTTGTGCCTTGTATAGTATGCTTGGAGTGTAATGGTCCTCATAGGTTTGGTGTTTTTGGCCTTAGCTACCAACTTATTTGAGTTGATAGCATTTATTTCAAGCTTTTTATACTTGTATTCACCTCTAATCACTTCTGCACCGTCGCTCCTTTCTTGGCTTTTACTTTTTGTCCTGAGAGTTGCTCTAGAATTAGTGTTGTTTAAGCTTGAGAGGTGACCTTGTGCTTAACGGTTTAATCTCTTTGGAGGCTAATTACCAACGACATAATCTCCCTCATGCCTAAAGCAATCCTTGGTTTGACACTTCTCTCCATTAGCGGACTTAATCTTCATTTTGGACAAAATGGACTAATGAATGGAAGGGTAATTAAATGAAGTAATAAAATTAGGGCTTAAAAAAGGTAACAAGATAATAAAAGCAACTTTGGGTTCAATCGGACGTTAATTGAACCCATGGAATCTTGAGTCATTTTATACTTGTTAGTGATGAAAATGGTTCAAGTTTCTAAGGTCAACCACTTCCCTTGATCAATTCCATGATAGGGAGAGGTTTTTTGTGGGTCTTTAGTTCCATTTATTGAAATTATATCCCTTGATTCATCAGTCATCACGCAATGAATTTGCATCGATTGATGGCTTGCGAATTGAGCTTACCTCATCCTTTGATTTATCCAATGATAAGAAGAGGTAGGATGGACAAACATCCCCTAAGAAAGCTCTGTTTGTGTTCTGTTTGTTTTCTGTTGCAGCAAGAGAAACCCAAAATTAGTGGCCGGCAGGCCATTATACTGTATGGCCATCCACCACTTCTGACCGGCCGGCCACCTTTTTAAACCAGGTAATACCATTTTCCTCACAGAACAGAACAGTGGCTGAGGTGAAAATAGTTCAATTTTCTAACTACAAAACAGAACCCTTTCGGTAGCAAAATAAAGGCATTTTCGAAGGAGAAAATCATATGCATGCATAAGCCTTTCCCTCATTTCTCGGGGCCCGATAACTTGTGAACTTGTAATATTTAATTATTGTTCGTATTATAATTAATTAATTAGAATAACTAGTTAACTTGGTGTTGTAATTAATTAGATTAATTAATTAATTTTGTGTTGTAATTATTTAATTAGTTAGAATAATTAGTTAAATTCAGTCTTGTAATAATTAGTTAGCTAGCTAGCTAATTCATTTATTCAAACCCTCTTGTATGAGGGCAAAATTGTAATAATGTGTATATTTTCCAACACCCATTTCTTTCTCCCTTTTATTTACTCGCTTATGATGGATAACATAGAGTATCATGTTTTGAATTAGCATTTTCCATGATTTGTATCAATTTGTCTTGCATGCATTGGATTCGACACATCATTCTAACTTTGTGGTTATTTCACATTCTTCATTTGAATACGTGTTTAACTGCATGCTATCAAATTAATCCACATGCCATGCTAGTAACCGAGCCTAGTAGTTGAATCTTTTCATGTGTTGCATTAACCATTTGCATTGTTAGAAGCATGCATCTCTTCTAATTATTTTATCCTGTTTGGCTTGCCTTAAAGTACGGGGTGAGCAGTTTTGATTTAGCATATTGTATACGTGTGATTGTTGTCATGTCTAGCATATCCACGATGCTAAGTACTTAATTGATATACCTGTTTGAATGCTAGTGGATGAAGATTAATTGCTTAAGTTGGGATAACTTGATAACTGTACATAGGAGATCACTTTTTCAAATGGTACATTTTGAAAATACTTTTCAAAACAAACATAAGATCAAAATGTTTCAATTTTTGTAAATTAGTCTATACTTGTGGGCGTCACTTAGTAAAGATAACATAATAATCGGAACAAGATCATGTAATGTAAATAAAAATCACATCATGATTAGTAGAGGCCGATCTTTGATCGGGCGAGTGGGGTGCTCAATTCATGACTTTCCCCTCTTGTACTTAAGTTCCCGAGTCGAGACACTTTGGTGATGACGAATAAGTAGCCTTCGGCATGAGTCTCGGATTTCTAAAATTTTTTAAAAATGTTTAGGTGACAATTTTGTAATCTGGCAAAATAGTCAATTTTTTAGCATTTTTGATCAAAAATCCATTTTTTAAAAAAATTTATCAGATCTAGACTCATTTGTATATATTTATTTCACATTAATCATATCTAAAAGAAATACGAAAAGCAAACTACAAATATCATTTTGATACTATTAAAATGCGGGACATTTAAACCCCTCCAATTTTGAGTTACGCATTTCTCTAATGTTTTTTTTTTTTTTAATAAAAATTTGGGGGAGTGAGCGTTTGAACTTTGAACGGTCAAAAAAAAATAAAATAAAATAAAAAAAAAAAATAAGATAAGGCTAACTTGCAGCTTTCGAGATTACTTTTAGGATTGGTTTGAGATATTTTAAAAAAGTGTATTTTTTAATTTATTGATTTTTATGAATTAGATTTGAGTTGTGTTTGATGTGATGTATTAGAGAGGTAATTTGATTTAAATAAGATGATATGATTTAAATAAAATAGTGATTTTTTGACTTTTTATATTATTTAATTTATGTCAAATCAATCCTTAATCTAAATTTAAAATTAAAAAATAAATAAATAAATAAAATTACAAATTCAACTTTGTCTGTTATTACCAGCCGGCCAATTAACACACCCCACACAAAAAGCAACCCAAAAACAAAGCAGAAAAAGTTAAAAAAAAATAAAAATAATAATAATAATAATAATAATTCAATAAAAAAAAACCACAACAGTTAAAGACAAATCTCTCTCTCTCTCCTCTATTTTCTCCTGAATCTATCTCTCTCTTACGCCATGGTCTCATCTGCGCCACTAATTCTCGCTGCCACAGATCGGTGACTGTCGTCCGGTGCTGGGTTTTGATTCGATCGGTACGTTTATCTTCTCTACGGTTCTCTTTTGTGCTGGTTTGTTGTGTTTTTGAATCTGTTCTAGTTGGTTGGAAATGAATTTTTTTGGGGGGAGGGAATGGAGGTTGTTGATTTGGGTCGCTAGATCTTTGTTTGGATTTTTTTGTGTGTGATGATTTTGTTTTATGTTTTTGGGTTTGCCAAAGATGCTTAAGATCTTACTTTGTGTTCTTAGAATTTTTTTTTTTTAATATATGCCTTCAATTTCTGTGTATTTGTTTATATCTCTGTTGTTTGTGTTTGTGTTTGTGTTTATTTTTGTTTTATTTGATGCTACAAACAAACATTCCATTGTCAATCTCTGTTTCTTTCTTTCTCCATATCACTCTTCACAATAACACAGATACACTTAAAAGGAGTTATTTTTTTTTTAAAAAAAATATTTACTTATTTATTTATTTATTTTTGCTCCCATTGATGGTTGTTGGGCATTTGCTTGTTAAGAACAAAATGAGATCCAGGAAAAGATTTATGGGTCCTTTGACAAGAAGTAGTGGAAGGTTGCTTTTTGATGGGCCATTGGATTAGTGAGGGTTCTAAAAATTTTATTAATACTTCTGAAATCTAAGGTGATGAAAATATTTATCATTGACTTGGGTTAGATAATGGCAGGGATTGGATCTTGATTGTGATCCGGGACCTATGAAGCACATGTATGGGTACTTGTACACTATATGATATGGTAAAATTAAAAAAAAAAAAAAATACATGTACGGTTATGTGTATGACTATGGCTGTGGCTGTGGCTGTGGCTATGGCTATGGTTGGATACGTTTGTAAAAAAAAATTATTTTTAATTTAGAATAATGTAAAACTTAGTTAAATGATTTAGTTTGTTATGATCTAACCTTCAATTCATATTTAATGCCAAAAGTAAATGTATAAACTAAAATTAAATATTATTATATTAAATAATTTACAAACTATAGCTTAAATTTAAAATCATACTAAGCATAATAACCAAGGTTCTGAAAAGCGGTTGCGGTCGCCGTAACGGTGGTGGTGGCGCGAACCCAAACATCCATATTTTCAACCTCAATTTTTTAGTCCAAAAAGACAAAAAGTGCACTTTTTTAGTCTTTCCAAACTTGGCCTTAGTTTGTTATGATCTAACCTTCAATTCATATTTAATGTCAAAAGTAAATGTATAAACTAAAATTAAATATTATTATATTAAATAATTTACAAACTATAGCTTAATTTTAAAATCATACTAAGCATAATAACCAAGGTTCTGAAAAGCGGTTGCGGTCGCTGTAACGGTGGTGGTGGCGCAGTTGCGGTTGCGATTGCGGGGTGTAAAGGCCGTAGCGTAACAGTTGCGGTAACCGGAACCGTGAATTTTTTTATTTTTAGTACAATTTAAAAAAAACTTACCGATACGCATATTTTTTTTCCATGATCATATTTATTGGGTTTAAAATAAATGTTGATCAATTTTTGTAAATTTTTAAGTATGATCCAATATATTTTATATTTTTAAATCACTATAAACTAAGTTTTTTACATTTTATTTTAATAATTAATGACTTTATATTATACAAAAAATTCATCACTAACTATTATATATAAAATAAACAATGACAAAAGTAAGAGAATAAATAAGAGCCTAAATATATATATATATACATATTTTAACCAAGCCAAATAGATAATGACCACATTTATTATTATTATTATTATTATCAAACAATATATAGATAGATACACACAAACAAAATGGTTGAATGATGGCAGCTGAATGGAATAGCATAGCCTTTCATGAGAAGAAAAAGAAAAAAATAAATAAAAAGGGAGAGAGAGAGAGAGAGCAAAAACAGAGAGAGGAAGGCGATCAACGAGAGACAAAAAACATAGAGGGGGAGACGACGAAAAAGAGAGAGAGAGAGAGAGAGAGACTAACTGCGACATAGAGACGAAAAGCACAGAGAGAGAGAGAGAGAGAGAGAGAGAGAGAGAGAGACGATCTTCGAAGTGATGAAAGAAGAGGAAAAATGAAGCAAAGAAGAAGGAGGACATACCTCGATCTAGGCCTTCAACTTCACCCTCTTAATTTTCAACATGTTCAGGTTCTTCTTCACCTTCTTTATCTTCTCTTTCTCTTTGTCGACCAACATGCTAGGGTTTTTGTTCAGAATTGCGTCCCGAACGTGTCCGACTGCAAAAAATTCAAAAAAAAAAAGAGGGACTCGTTCCATAGAGTGTCGGACACGTGGTCACATGTCCGACAAATGTCCATGTCCGACACGTGTTGGGCATCCATACGCTGCCTTCAGAGAGGTGTTTGTGCTTCATAGATTGGGACACAAGGCTTAGTTTAATTTGGTTTGAACTTGAATGTGTAGAGAAATGTTATGACATATGTACCATCTATTTTAATTTGAATAGATGGTTATGCTTGATTTTACCAATATATGAGGAAGTTATATTGATTGAGATTATAGATTCAAGAATCGGGGGAGTATATTGTGGATAGCCTTATATCATTTGTTACATGATTTTGTTGGATTGTGCGGGTGGCATGATGAATTTTATTTAGGATCTTGCTAACAAGTGTCCCTTGGCACAAGAAAAAGAACACACACACACACACAAAAATAAATAAATAAAATAAGGGGAAAGAACATATGACACTTTTTACTAATTTCAAAATTTTTATCACTAATTTTATCCTTTTCACTTATTTTCAAAACACTTTTCACGAGTGACGTATAAGGCAGACAGTACACATTTTTTTAACAACCACTTCACCTAGACATTTCTATTTTGGTTGGATTGTAGTTTGTATATTTGGTGATAAGTGGATCTAGGTGTTGTGGTATTTTATTTATTGTGAAGAATAAGTGGTGTATCAATTACATTTCTTTGATGCTGTTACCAGTGGTATCAATGGGCCTCGTGCGTCTAAATGTTTTCTTTAGTGGCCCTTTTATATACCAAGATATACATGCTTGCTTTTTGGCTTGATATTCAATCCCAGGCTATTAGTTTCCTCAATATGTTCTGTCGATAATCATCATTTAATTTACTTCATTTAGATTAGAAAAACTCAAAGTTGATTCTTTATTTGTTGTAAATTCAAAGAAAGAAAAAATATATGCTATTATGCAAAATTTAGTTTCTGACCTGAGTTTATTGGTATTGTATTGATTCAGCAGGTTAATGATTTGTTTATCAAGGTAGAACAGTGAGTGGGACATTTGTTTAACTAATGGCTTCAGTGGGTGTTGCACCTACTTCTGGTTTGAGGGAATCTGTTGGCCATACTGTTGGTGTTGATAGGTTGCCTGAGGAGATGAATGACATGAAAATTAGGGATGATAAGGTGCATCATCTGTAATGGTTTCACTGCTCTCTCTCTCTCTCTCTCTAGTGTTACATTTGTTCTTTGCTTGTTTGGCACAATTTAACATAGGCTGTTTTATTTTCTAGGAAGTGGAGGCCACAGTTGTTGATGGAAATGGGACAGAGACAGGTCATATAATAGTGACAACTATCGGTGGTCGAAATGGCCAGCCGAAGCAGGTAATCTGCAGTAGTTGTATATATATATTTTCTTTACTACTTAGAAGATTTTGTTCATTCCCTTCCTTTGGGGTGGGGGGTCGTTATGCCACAATTGTTATGAGACTTGCTGTTCTATCTTCCTTATCTTCATTATTTCACTTGGTTTAATCTAAGTTGAGTTTATCTATTGTTAGACAATTAGCTACATGGCTGAGCGTGTTGTTGGACATGGATCATTTGGAGTTGTGTTCCAGGTAAAACTGCATGCCTTTTTACTGGGAAATAGTTGCGGTATATTCTTTCTCATGAACAGAAAACTTTCAAGCTGTTTTTATGCTGATAATTTTTGTTTATTTAGGCAAAGTGCTTGGAGACAGGTGAAACTGTGGCCATAAAAAAGGTTCTTCAAGACAAGAGATATAAGAATAGAGAGTTGCAAACCATGCGTCTTCTTGACCATCCAAATGTCGTGTCCTTGAAGCATTGTTTCTTTTCTACAACTGAGAAGGATGAACTTTATCTCAATTTGGTACTAGAGTATGTTCCTGAAACCGTTCATCGTGTAATCAAGCACTTCAATAAGTTGAACCAACGGATGCCGCTGATATATGTGAAGCTGTATGCATATCAGGTGTGGTGTTAGACCCTCCACCTTCCTTTTATGTCTCTATGGTGTTTATTTTTCTCATCTGTCAACAGTGTTTTTTATCATGACAATTTTGTGTAAATGTAAATGTTACGCCTTTTTTTTCCACAGCACACATTTCCTGTTATAAAACATTGCTTTCTTTCTCTCTACAATATTATAGGCTTACAGGCCCACATATTCAACATTATCCAAGTGTTTGCACTTACAAAAAGAATCTTTTCAAAGCATCAAGTGAGGTTTTAGAAAAAGTTAGGAGGTTTGGGTACTTTACCCCTGTTTGAGGTGATCTTTCAATATCATTCAACACTGCTGGGCAAACAAGAAGAGGGAAATGGCATGAATGAAATTAAGAAAAAAAATTTGTTTATTAGCTTTTGATAGAGACTTTTCATTCACTCTTATTTTAATGTTTCTCCTTGGGTGGTCTTTATATTTTCTTTTCTTGAAAGAGAGTTGTGGTTTATGTTAATTTTTGTAGACCATAATATGTTGCTGATATTTGGCAGATCTTCAGGGCTTTGTCTTACATTCATCGCACTATTGGAGTTTGTCACCGGGACATTAAGCCTCAAAATCTTTTGGTATGCAAAGATGTGTGTTTATTTTCTTGGTACTGATTTGATTAATTAGTTTTTGTGTAATTCTCAGGCTGCACTTACTCAACTTGAGGAATTGCTAGGCTTGAAATTAAATGTAGTGATCCAGCTCTAGTGTTGTCTAATTTCCACTTAAGCAGCTCCTGGCTTTGCAGGAGTCCTTTGGGATTTTATTTAAGGCTGATGGATTGGGTGCTTCGGTAGCATCTCCGTCAGTTTTCTCATCTCTAGATGTACAGCTTAGGTACTTTGTTCTGAGTGATTTGCTGCCTTAAGATAACAATTAACAGAGAAACTATATGCATACTTGTTTCAAATTTGTTGTTTACGACTTGACATAAGAAAGAAAGGAGGGAAGATCACTTCACAATTTTGAAGTGATGTTCAGGGGGGGCTTATGTCATCTTCTAAATAGCATGCCTAATCACATGTTGAAATTTGCAGCAAATTTTGAATTAACTATGTCTGCGTTTTTCTGTTTGGAATTTTGTGTACATCAATGTACTTCTAAGTTATAAATATCAGCACCCATGCCTATTCCTTATATGCCATTTCTCACACCACATCATTAGCATTTGCAGCTAAGAACTTGATTTTTTTGGGCAGGTGAATCCTCATACCCACCAACTTAAACTATGTGATTTTGGAAGTGCTAAAGTTTTGGTATGTTATCGTCTATGTAATTATTTTTCTCTCCCTCTTGCTGGTAGTGCTATTTTTTTTCGGTGTTTTGGTTAGAATGCAGCTTGATTACTGATTTCTGGCAGGTAAAAGGAGAGCCCAATATTTCTTACATCTGCTCTAGGTATTATCGAGCACCTGAGTTAATATTTGGAGCAACAGAGTATACTACAGCTATTGACGTCTGGTCTGCTGGTTGTGTTCTTGCGGAGCTTCTTCTTGGACAGGTACATACTAAGTTTCTACTATTACAAGGTCCTTCGAATTAAATTTTACAAGGGGTAAACAAAAAACAAAAATCATTATTATATGGCTTGAATTAAATTGTCTTTATTTTTTTGGTTGGTTTCAGCCTTTGTTTCCTGGTGAGAGTGGTGTTGACCAGCTTGTTGAGATTATCAAGGTAAGAAAAAAAAAATTGGATAAAGGAAAATGTCCTTTGTAAACTATGCATTGCTTCCATATGTTATTATATATTTCTAAGGGGTGGAGTTAGAAATATAAAGATGAATGAACGAGCAAAGGACTTTATGCTATGCCATTTGTTGATATTGAATGAATAACCTGAAACAAGTTCGTGAATGTTGCTTACATGTTTGCATTGGTTTTGAACCATACAAGGCCCTTTTAGATGGGTAGACAAATGATGCGCAATTTCTTGTCATTCATGGCCTGAGGCATCACAGTAAGGTTTCAATTTTTTTAAAATGTTTTTTACGTCTCACATACACTTTGTGCCATTATTGTTTTGCAGGTTTTGGGTACTCCTACAAGAGAAGAAATTAAATGCATGAATCCTAACTATACCGAGTTTAAATTCCCTCAAATCAAAGCTCATCCGTGGCACAAGGTACAAGGAGCTAAAAATGTTAGCATCGTTTTTTATTGTCACTTCTCACAATACGCACTAATTTGCATTTGTTTCCTTGTCGTTATTAGATATTCCATAAACGCATGCCTCCAGAAGCTGTTGATCTGGTTTCAAGACTGCTGCAATACTCTCCCAACCTACGCTGTGCAGCCGTGAGTGAAAGTGTCTTTTCTTTCATTCTATCTTCCTCATTCCTAGTAATCTATACTAGCAATAGAATTTTTGTACCATCATCTTTATTCCATGGGGAGTGAGGACGAGCTAGTCTAGTGTAGAGATTCATGTTTTGCTTCTTGTAGGATGGTTGTTAAATTAATTAGTAATGTTGAAACTATGTTACTTGGACCGTGGATTGTTCCCAAGTTTTAAAAGACTTTATTGAGGCTCGCCTCGCCTCAAGGCTAAGGTAAAATACATCAAGGCTTTGATTTTTAGGATTTACTCCCTAAAGGCTTACACATAACAGCCTGAGATACACGCATTAGGTGTGCCTTGTACGCCTGTTGTGCATAAGCATATGAGAAGTACGCATATGATGAGGTTACCTTGGGCTTTGTTATAGTAGATTGTTTAAACATAAAAAAGCCAAAAAAAAAAAAAAAACCCATTTTGCAACTGTATTCTAAAAGGAAAAATAAAGTAAATGACCAATCAAGAAAAAACACAGTTAATTCTCAGGTGAGAAGCTCAATTACTAAAACTAAGGATATCAATTTCACTTTCAATGAGGCAAACTTCATTTTTTGCAGTGAAATGTATTACGCCTTAAGGAGAAAAGTATTTACAATTTTATATTTTTTTTTACTATTTTAAAACATTTAATTTATTTACTAAATATTAAAATTTAAAATTTGAAATGCTTACGCCTCGATGCCTTAAAGCTTACGCCTCACTTCATGAGGGGTAAAACACCTCGAGTTACACATTTGCCTTTGAAAACTTTGATTGTTCCAAAACGTGAAACGGGAATAGGAACGTGGTATGCCACATGTTCTGAAAGAGGGTAAGATAGGAGTAGACTTGATTAGACTAATAATTTAAGGTACATCTAAGAGTAATTTTCTTATTAGACATCCAATAAAATGAATATTTTCTTTCTCCAAATGAATCAAGTGGCAAGACATTCCTATAAGCATTAAGACCCACTTTTCACGTTATGTTCTGTCAAAACTTCACTTGCCTTTAATTTTAGTTTATTGTATTTGATTTTTTTTTTCTTTTTTTTTTATGACTCTGTAGGAAACCTTTGGGAAATATTTTGAAATTTTATTTTTGGAATTGTTTTAGATGTCTAAATTTACTGTTCCAAAGTGCACCATATTCCGGAACGTGCATTTCAAAACGTAATTCTCTAGAGTATTAGCATTTTCTGGTAACACTTTGAAGGATTTTGTGGATTGTTGTTCGATAGATGTTAAATTAACTAGGAATGTCGGGACAGTTTTTTTGTACCGTCATCTCGTCTTTATTTTGAATTATTATTATTATTATTTTTTGGTTGGTTAGACAGGATGATAAAGCTTAAAAAACTTACCTCAGGGTTTTTGTCATCATCTTTGTGTGAGCTTCATGCTTCTTCAGTCTGGACTAGTAAATAATATATGCTTTCTAACAATGCAGTTGGATGCCTTGATCCACCCCTTCTTCGATGAGCTACGTGATTCGAACACTCGCCTACCAAATGGACGTTTTCTTCCCCCGATATTTAACTTTAAGCCGCATGGTATGAAATTTGAAACAATTTTTCCTGACGTTTGCTTTGTTTTCTATTTCGAGCCTTTGATATATACTGTTGTTGCTGCTATGCCTGTTATTGGCGATCCAGAGTTGAAGGGGGTGCCGGCAGAGATCTTGGTGAAATTGATTCCAGAGCATGCTCGGAAGCAGTGCTCCTTCCTAGGGTTGTAATATGATGAAGAATGTGACAAACGAGAAGCTATTTTTCTTCCCTCGATTTATGTTTAAGCTCATTTGTTGTTGCTGTTTTTTCTTTTTTTTTGGGTATTTTTTTTTGTGTTACCTTGTTTGTAAAAGCAGATTAGGATATGCTAAACCATGCCCAAACCTCAATCTGTATTGCCAAAAGATTTTTAACATTACATGGATAAGGATGAGCATTTATTGTAACGATCTATTTGATATTGAGATTTCAATTGTAGTTTAAGAGAGTTCAGCAGATGAATTGAGGCCTGATTGCTTTCATTTGTTCTTAGCTTGTGATTTAACTAACCCTTTTTTTTTTTGAATCTTTGGAACGTAGCTATTAACTATAGGTTTATTCATAGGACGGTCCTTAATTGCATTGCTTGTATATATGTGTTCGCGCCATATTCAAACCAACCAATCAGAAGGTGACACGTGACAGCAAGCTATAAAATAAGAGTCTGCCAATTAAGAGGAAACACATGGCAGGTTGTGGAAGAAACAAATGTAGACACGGGATTTGAAACTGCTACTAGAGGGCAAGAGCTTGAAGAAATCAACCTTCTTTGGAGGGCTACGGGGAAGCAATTGAAGAGATCGTGAGGCTGAACTTCGATGGTTGCTGCGGATTCGAATAACACCTATAAATAGCCAAAGAGGACAGAGAAACTCCCAAACAAATCATGAACTTACCAGTTTCTTGGTTTTCTCTTTTGCAATACGTTTTATTTCCATAGGAGTGGCGTTAACTTGGAATTTATATTTCTCTTTCGGTTGTTCACCTTCAAATTGCATTATTCAATCAATCATCATCTTATTTCTGTCTCAGTCTTTCCCTCACATTCTTCGTTTATGATTTTGTACTAGTTCTCTCAATTCATTAATTGGTTCTCACTTAAATACAAGCATTTAAGTCTTGTTCATTGAGGTAAGAACTTTTCATAGTCACTTGATTATTAATTTGGCTTAATTAATCTGTAAAAATATTTCAATCATTGTTGACACGTTTGAATTTACATTTTTAACTTTCAAATTGTCAAAAAGCCAACGTGTACCAATGTTGTCAATACCATTACCTATCGGCTATTACTGACTAGTAAGGTACTAGTTCAGAAGAAAAACGCGGCAGCACAACTCGGCAGCACAACTGTAATATGGTATTGCCTATATTCTCGGCTTTGGATGCTTTCATTCTTAATAGAAAATATTGGCTGGAATTGTGAATACCCTTGTGCTCTATTTGATTCACTAGAGTGAGATGGAATGGTTATTCCTTGGACTTCCTTACGGAATGATCATTCCATTACATTGGTGCATGATGATTCTATTTATAATCTATTTTTCATTATTTTTTTTAATGAACCAAATATGAAAATAGATATTTTGATAGAATGATCATTCTATTCCAATTTATTATAGCGAACTTTACGGTATATCCGGTAGGTATTTTGGTCTTGGGTTAGAACTAGCTGATAAAACAATACAGCTCTTATTTTGTGAGTTCATGTTCTTGGGTTAGAACTAGTTGATAAAACAGTACAGCTCTTATTTTGTGAAGGGCAATGCTCACCTCGTCCCTCTTTCACTTGCATGAATGATTTGCTGCTCCAAATTTCCAAATCTGCTTCGGCCTTATCAGTCTCATGAGGTACCTCTGTGTGTGTGATTCTCTAATTTTTCGCTGTCTTTCACTTGCACCGTTGCACGGTTTGTTCTGTATTTTAGATCTATGTTTTTCTGTTGTTCTTTTGGCATGGAATGCAAACTGGATTTGTTTTTCTTTTCTTGAGCTTTTTCTAGCTTGCTGTGGTTCATGTTTGCTTTTCATTAGTAAGCTAAAGCTTAATGTTCTCTGATGATGCCAATATATAGTTGGCGTGTAATGTTAAAATTATTTGATATTGGATAATATTTTTAATAAATATATAATATTTGTAGTGATAAATCCGAGACGGTACCCGTACTAAGAGCAACTCCAACCACACTCTCTACTTTTCACTAGCTAAAGTACAAAAAAAGTACACTATTTATTTTATCTAATTACTTTAGCTGTTGTGTTCTCCAACCACGCTATTTATTTTAGCTAATCATTTAAACTAACTTAATTAATTTTTAAAATACAAAAATACTAATTGTTGATATTTTACTAATATAAATTTGCAATAATAATAAATTTGCCCATACAAAATACAAAATAGGTTATTCCGTAATTAATCAAACAGAATTGAAAGAACATATAAAATTGCTACACACACATATATATATATATATATAAAATCCCAAATTCAAGACATAAATATATAAAAATCTAAAATATATACATACATAATTGTTTGGAGAGCCTATGGGGCTCTTCAATTGTAGTCAAAAAAAAAATTGGATGGTAAAGTAGTTAGCCCAATAGCTAACCCATTAGAGTTCAAAATTAGACTTACATTGGCTAAAAAAACCTAAAATGCTCAATACCAATATATACAATGCCAACTAAAAAATTGATATCTTATCTAGTACGAGATTGACAACTTCCATATGTAACAACATGCAAGCAAGTGAACTGTGAATGAGCCGAGAAAAATGTGGGTTAGGGAGGTTTGGAAAGAGGCAAGAAAACAAGAGTGTGATTACCAACCACAAAAGGAAGTCATGGTTCTTCTCTGTGTGTGCATCTTTGCAAATCTTTCAAGTTTCTTTGTGATTGTGGAGCCTTCAACATAAATCATAATTGCACCGGAGTGATCAAAAGACGAATACATTTTTTAAACTCTATGTACAAATATACATGTATTTACAATATGATGATGTTTGAAAACTTGAATTTTGGCTAAAATAGTCAATAAAGACAAAAATGACTAAAATAATTAATAAAATAAAATGTCACATCTTACCTATTAATTAATTATTTTTTTATAACATTTAATTATAAAAAAATTCATAAATCATCTCAAATACAATTTCTTTTTCATCTTATAAAATAATTAAAAGGTAAAAAAAAACAACTAGAGTAGTCAAGTATTCAAACGAGGCCGATATAAATTTTTTTTTTTTTGGGATGTAAAATAGAAATAGAATGCAAGATGTTATCGTACACACCTTCTTATGTAAGTTATTACATTTGTAGGGTTGATTACCACAAACGTCATAATTAAATTTTTTACAAGTTATAACTAAAGAAAAAAAGTTATAATCAAACACCATTTGGGATAAAATTAAAGAGCTCTTTGATTATAATCAAAATAATATCATAACCAATATCACAATAAGTCATAACTAATGTTATAATTTGTATAACTAAATCATAACTAATAACTTAATAGATCATAACCAAAAGGTCATAACTAGGGGATGTGTACCATAGAATTTTCCTTACTTGGTTATTCATCAATTTGATATAGGGTTGGGTTTCCGTTTTAGGGTGTTGTTCTAACCTATAAGGCTCACCATAAGTCTCATTTCAATGATTTGAACTGTTTATTTTATAAAATTCTTCGTTTATATCCTTCACAAAAAACAAAAAATAAAGTTGATTCGATAATTGTAGCATTCAATTTATTGCTTTTGTTATGAAAATAATGGTCTATTTTCAAAAACACACTTTTATTTATTTTTTTAGGATAAATTATAAATACAATCCTTAAGATTTGTTTAAAATACGAATTGCCCCACTTTGGTTGTAGAAATTATATTCTATCCTTTGAAATTTCTAATTTCATAACAAATAACCCATTTTATTAATAAATAACCAAGTCAATTAACCGTTGTTAATAATGTCAAAAATATATTTCAATTAATAATTTAGGTAATTTTATTATTGTATTAGGAATTTTGTTTTTTTAGTTAATTTTGTTAAATAAAAAGTTGTGACAAGAGGTATTTGTAATTTTTCAAATCACAAGGGACAATCAGTATTTTAAACAAACCTCGGGAAGTATATTTGTAATTTATCATTTTTTAAGACAAACGCCATAAATTGAACATATTACAATTACCCAATCGATTTAATTTTATTTGTAAATGATGTGTTTGGGATGTCATAAAAACACTACCCTTTTTTTTTTGAATATATATTTTTTATATTTAGTGATTTTTTTTTTTAAATTATGTCAAATTTTTTTTTTTCGAGTTTATCTTGTGTAGACAAATCTAAAACGTAAATCTTTTTAAAAAAATTCCCACAAAAAAAAGAAAAAGAAAAAGAATTATAGTACTGTGTAGGACTGCAGTTCACAGACTCAATAACGCTACCCAACATTAAATATTTGGCAGCTTTGTAAGCTAGTAGATTAAAAGTCTAAAAGAGTGGAAGGAAGGTCTTAGGCTATGTGCAGACAGAAACTTTTGGAATTAGTTAGGTTTTAATGGTGATAAATTGCCAAGATTCAGAGATTCCTACTAGAATTTTTGAAAAGTACGGTTTTCATTTTTTTTTTCCCCCCAAAACAGAAAAGGGTGGATAGGGTAAGGGCATGGTTTGGAAAAATTGAGCTTTTAGGCTTATAATTTTTTTTTTTAAATATGGATTAATAGCAATCAAATTTTGGGGGCATCGTCCAAATCAAAAATGGAATCAGAGAGTCCGTTGAGGACGGGATACTATACTCTCCACTTATTCAAAAAAAAAAAAAAGAAAAAAAGAAAAGAAAAGAAAAAAGACAACAAAATATATTTAAAATTTTAATTTTGTCAATTTAAATTATGATTCCTTAATTTTTTTTTCAATTTAAATTATTTGTCTATTTTATTAAGGAAAATCAATAAAAAAATAATCATTAAATTAAATATAAGTATACACAAAATATTTAAAATATCATTTTCATGTTTAAAGATTAAAATACTTATTTTTCTATCAATTTTACTCAATGTAAATAGATAAAAAATAATATAAATTGAAAATAAATAAAAAATTTAAGATTTAAATCTATAAAATAAAAAATTTATTTTGTTATAATTTTCAAAACCTATTTTTTTTTTTTATAAAAAATAATTAAAATTTCCCAACTTTATTGGCATTGAACTGACCATTTCATTTTAGGTCTTGTTTGGGAAGGTAGTTATTTTAGTTGGTTATTTGATTTCTTAATAATTTTGGAATTTAGGTGAAAAGTTAAATTTTTTGTTTTTAAAAAAATAAAAATACAAATACAAATAAAGAGGTGATATGACTTAAAAGATATTAAAAATCAAAAAAAGTTGCTTTTAACCTTTTGCCAAAAGAGGCAATTTGAAAACTTGATAAAAAGCCAGTTTTTTGACTTTTTTATTTTTTTTACACAAAAAAGTCG